GTTCAGCAAAATCTTAATCCAATTCTGTTCCTGTCCTTCTTTTTCTCCTTGAAGAGAAAAGACTGTTTTGCAGTCTTATTTCTCTGTGATCTGATGCCTCACTCTGGTTTCTTACTCTGTAACTCTCCCTTAAGCTTTCCAATTCTCCCAGGGATGAAATGTAGATCTACTCAGTTTGCTCACCTGTTCTCATCTGACCTCTCATTTTACACCTAGCTTGTCTTGGTACAACTTGCCTAGCAAGCTGAGGCTTTTGATAGGAAAAGACACCTGGCAGAGATGCCTGGAGTGAACACCAGCAATCTTTTGGAGGTAGAAGGAAATGTTGTGATGCCTTTGTGCATACTTTTAGTTTATAAGTCATTAGAAACAAGCACATAAAATTTCTCATTGGAGATTGTTTATATATATAATATGCATAATCAGTACCTCACTATTCTGTTTATCTCCTATCATGGTCCAGTTTCATTCACATCAACATGGTACCATGTGTAGTTCCATGAATGTGTTGGGTGTTTTTTGTGTGGTTGCAAGTGGACTTCTGTTGCTTCATAGCTATGAAAACACATTTTTAGCTAATGGAAGGGCTAAACATCCTAGGCTTCTCAGTGAAGTACAGACTCATCATGCAAAATAGAAGTATATGTTCTCCTTCCTTGTTTCATTTATATTGAAGCTGTAAATTAATTCATCTAACAGATTGTGGTTTTGTTCATATTTAATGGCTTCTTCATATCATATCATAAGCTCCTTGAAGGAACAAAATTTTATTCATAATTTTTTTAAAATAGAGTCTACTTGCTTTGTAGCCCAGATAGACCTTGAGCTCATAGTACTCCTATCTCATCCTCTTCATGCTGGTATTATAGCCATGTATCAGCAGGACTATTTTTATTGGCTTACATGTTGAGTCACTTCACCAGCACTTTCATAATGTTTTTGTTTTGTTTTGTTTTTTCCGATAGGGTCTTGTGCACTATTTGCCTGGGCAGGTTTGAACCACAATCCTCCTGATCTCTGCCTCCTGAGTTGCCAGGATTACGGGAGTGAGACACTGGCACCCAGCTGACAAAAATGTTTTTAGATGTATAAGGTAAACATTGTTATAGTATTTTTGGTACTTAATAAACTATTACAATGGTAGCACATTTCTGTGACTTTCCTTTACCCTCTAGAATCAAAACAAACTGCATTTTTGCAAAATACATATAAGAATCTCCTCCTCCCCATACCCACCCCCACACAGAGAAGCCTGAACTTCCATATTCCAAGGACTGGTGATTTGAGAAGAAATATGGCATTCCAGGAGTTGGTATCATTTGAGGACGAGGCTGTGAACTTTATCTGGGAAGAGGCAGGACCTGGATGGTGCTCAGAGGAGCCTGTACACGGAGGTGATGCTGGAGACCTACAGCAACCTGGTGTCCTTGGGTAGTGAAACTGCCTATAGCCTAAGGAGCAAGCACTGTCTTCTTAGTAAATATGTGAAAAATATTTTAGGTGCACAGTTCCAGCCCATGAAGAACTCAACTGTTCATCCCACTCTCATGAAAGTTCACATGTGCCCCTTCATTGCAGTTCCACAGCTGGATTTTGTCTTGCTTCAAAGAACCTGACTTTCAACAGAGGGGATGAACCAATTCAGGACATTATATGTATATATTCAATCTCACAATGAAACTCCCGTATAACTATAAACAGACAAAATGTCTTTTTTTATAAATGAAGGACACCAATGTAAAACAAATCCAAGGGTTGGTATGGCATAAAGGGTAAAGAAGGGTGAATATGGTGGAAGTATTATGTATTCATGTATAAAAATGGAACAATGAGACCTATAGAATCTGCTCTAGTAATGGGAGGAGGGAAGATAGTGAGGATGATTGGGGGGTGAATCTAACTAAGATATATTAAGCATGTTTGTAAATGTCACAGTGTACCCCAGTACAACTGTAACATGCTAATACATCAATAAGAGAAAAAAAATGATAAATAAATATAAATATAGCTCCTCAGTCATACTAGTCCTGTTTCAAGTGTTTGATAACCACCATGGCTAGTGCTCTCTTGGTGAGCACAGGTACAGAACATGCCCATTATTGCAGAAAGGGATTCTGGGTGATAAAATCTTAACTTAATTATTTGACAAAATCCTGTGTTGTTTTGCATGAACAGAATGCATCACCAAACCTGAGCTGATCTTCAACCTGAGCAAGAATCAGAACTGTGGATGGGAAAAAATCCCCAAGCCAGAGCCCACCAGGTCAAGCCAGTGCATACTGGGTAGGGAGGCCATAGAGTGGTGCCCAGCAGATGTTGGCCGTGTTGTGCTGATTCACCAGGTTATCTTCCTACATTGTATGCACATGAGAAGAGTGGGCTAGCAACATCAAAACCTGTGCATTAGAGTCTCCAAGGAAAAGCCCTCACACAATATGTTACCTTTATCCCAAATCTAAACCCTATTCTTCTTAGATTTTTTATTTATTTTTAATTTTTGCTACTATATACTTTCTCAGTTGCCTCACCACCCATTTCATGGATTTTTTTTTTGGGGGGGGGCACTGGGTTTGAATTCCAGGGTTGAGCTGGGAAAGCAGACAAGTACTTGCAAAGCATATGCTATAATTGAGCCACACCTCTAGTCCATTTTGCTGTGGTTATTTGGAGGTGGGTCCTGTGAACTCTTTGCCTGGGGCTGCCTTCAAACAGTATCTTCCCAATCTCAGTCTCCCACTTAGCTAGAATTACAGTGTGAGCCTCTGGCTCTGGGTTAAAAATTCTTTTGGAAGACGAACTCCTGAATTGTAACCTGGATGGCCTTCCTCAATCTTCCTGCTTCTGCCTCCTTAGTGATGGTGTCTGCCAGAATGTCTGACTCTCATGGACTTTATGTTCCTGACATTTATTCATAAGTTGTTTATGCTATGCACATCCTAGTGAGCTGATTTTGAAGCACAGCAATTTTATACTTGTATTGATGACAGAAATTTATCAAAATTATGTCTCTTTTCATCAAGGTTACAGTGTGCTGAGAGAAAGCAAGAAAGTAATCGTATTTTAAGTGGTCAAATAAGAGCCATGAGATAGTTAATGAAATTGAAGAAAAGAAACAAGATTGTGATCAGTTAGGAAGGTTGGTCAGAGAAGACAGTCTTAGCTGGAGTTTGTTTAAATTTACTATTCTGGGAATGGAACCCAGGGCCTCCAGAGTGCTAGTCAAGTACTATTCCACTGGGGTACATTTGTAGTGGGATTATGTTTTACCTTGACATAGCTTGAGGTTCAGTTCCTGTTTTCAAATTTTTACACATAATTGGTGAATGTGAAGATCTGCATTTGAGAGTCTGTGTCACTCTTGGATACACAAATTTTGAAACTGATAGCTTGAAGCTGGTATTTAAAATTACAGAGCAGTTCACTTAGGGAGTTGATGAAAGCAAAGACTTAGTCTTGTGAACCATGGTGTCAGACACCATGAAAATGGAGGATCCAGCAGATAGGTCTGCATTTGGGGATGAACCAGGATATTCCTGTCCCAAGACTGAGTGAACCAAGGGTTTCACATTCAAGAGCTCAGATCTTTGGGAGTGAGTTTGAACTTAGCATTTCTGTTTTCTCTTAATGGATATCATTATAAACAAGAAAGAGGAGGAGATATGTTCAGAAGACTCTATATTCTATGAAAGTAGAAGAAAGCTGGTAGTCCAGTGCAAAAGATAACATCATTTGGGAGAAGTTGATTATCAAGCAGGGCTTGTCTATGAATTGGGGAGAGAATGCTGGGGCTGTTGGTCTAGAAGAGCCAGAAAAGCACTTTATAGAGATGGTGGGCTTCAAAGTGGGTGTCCATTGTGGTGCAATGAAGAAAAAACTTACGTTTCTGAGAAGCAGAGTGAGGGTTAAACCTGCACTTTGTAGAAGGCTGTTTTCATCTAGAATGGGAAAGAAGACATTTTATATTTGAAAAACTCCTAGAGATTTTAAGTGCAAATAATTCCCAGATGCCTAGTTATTCCCCAGGTAAGAATGAAAACTAAACAACATAGACGCAAAATGCTTTCCCAAAGCCATTTACTGTTTAGTGGCATTCAGTTGGACCTCACTTTGTATTCTGTAGAAGGCTCTTGCAGCCTTCAATGTAGAATAATGAGAAGAACAGCAGCAGGAGACCCCAGCATTGTTAAAATGATAGAGAGAAAGAATGGGCTAAAGAAATGGGAAGGAAGAAGCACTCCATGGAAAACCATGACTAGGCTTCAGGTGAATATTTTAATGAAATACTTCCTCATGGAATAAAACTTAAAGAAGCAAGAAAAAAAACAGTTCAACATTATAAAATCTGTTGGTGTCATTGATAGCATTAGGTCAGTAGGAAGAAAACTACTTGCACACAAATACCTGTTGTGATTTTTTGTGAAATCTTAAGCCAGTAGAAGAAGAACCCCCTTTCATATACATGCACTTTCCATAGAAATCTTTAGATGTGTTTCATAAATGTGGTTATTTTCTTTTTTCTCATTTTAAATGCCCACAAAGTGGATGTAATAATTGAGACCCACGAGGAAAGTTGACACGGGCATTTGAGGCAAGCTGTAATCACTACAAAGAACACACCAACTAAGGAGAGAGTTATATTAGGACATGCCTTTCATTTGAGTTCCAACCATATTTTAAATTTGATTGTAAAGAATACAGGCTCTTTAGGAGTGAATACATTCAAGGAGTTGAATGTATATCAAGACATGCATCTTCCTAGTAGGCCTGAGGGGGTGTATGCTGGAGAGAAACCCTATCAGTGTAATAAGTATTGAAAATAATTTGTGCAGAAGTCACACCTCACCAAGTTTGAGATAACTCACACTGGGGAACACAGCTATCACTGTAATAAATGTGGAAAAACAATTGGCCAGAAGTCACACCTAACTTACCATGAGATGACTTATACTGGGGAGAAGCCCTATCAGTGTAATAAATGTGGAAAAACCTTTGGCTGGAAGTCACACCTCACCCAACATGAGAGAATTCACACAAGGCAGAAGACCTGTAAGTGTAGCCAGTGTGGAAAAACCTTTGGCTTGAAGGCATGCCTCACTATGCATGAGATAACTCACACTGGGGAGAAGTCCTATAAGTGTAGTCAGTGTGGTAAAACCTTTGGCCAGAAGTTACACCTCACTGTTCAGGAGATAATTCACACTGGGGAGAAGCCCTATCAGTGTAGTCACTGTGGAAAATCCTTTAGCCAGAAGTCAGGACTCACTATACATGGGATGAGTCACACTAGGAAGAAGCAATATCAGTGTAATCAGTGTGGAAAACCTTTGGCCAGAAGTCGCACCTCTCTGACCATGAGATAATGCACACTGAGGAGAAGCACTGTCAGTGAAATAAATGTGGAAAAACCTTTGCCTGGAAGTCATACCTCATTGAGCATGATAGAATTCACACTGGCAAGGAGCCCTATCAGTGTAATCAATGCAGAAAAACCTTTGGCCTGAAGTCACACCTCAGCAGGCATCAGACCACTCACAAGAGAAGAGTCTTTTGCAGGCAGAAATGCTTCCTCAGAAATAAAACCCCAGGAAACATCAGAGGAATGCATGCTCTTGGAAAATCTTCTATGCAGAGACTAGCTATTTGTTGTCCCTCCAAGACATTTTCTCTCTCAGATACAAACAAGCTCTCTGCCTCACTTCCTGTGGCCAATTAGTTCACAGCTTCTCTGTGGAAGATACAGAACAAGTGATGAAACCATTCCTTCCAGGTCTGAAAGTGTCAATGACCTTGCAAGTCCTTGCAAGACTTGGGATTGGAGCCCTAGGGGTCTCAAATCACAGTGATTTAAGACAGAAATGAAGAGAACAGAGGACTTTGCACCACTGGCCCTGTGCTCTCCATTTGTTACACGTGATTAATAAACACCTACTCTGATTGAACCAATTTTTTTGCATGGCCTGTGCATTTCAGCATCACCAGCCAGCTACCTACTCACTTATGAATGTGAGAGAAGTGTTCCTGAGAAAACTTGCCCAGTTCGTGTTTATCAGAAAATTCATTACAGAAGAGAAAACTCTTGTTGTCATTCCTTCATCTCCAACTAAGGTTTTGGAGATCAAAGAAATGCGGCCTGGGGAGCAGTGCTCCTTCCTTGTAATTCCCAGCTATTTGGAGGTAAAGGTGGAGATTTGTGGTTTAGGCTATCCTGGGGCAAAGAGTTAGCAAGAACCAAATTCTCAGTTAATAAGCCAGTGTTGTCACCACAGCTGTATTACAGCTGTAACCCTAGCTCCGTGATTAGCCTAGGGAAGGACTGTGGTCCAGGCTTACCCTGGGCAAAAACCAGACCTATGGTGAAAAATAACTAAAAAAAACAAAGGTTTGAGATATGACTCAAGTTGGTAAGTGCATTTTTAGCAACTTGAGGTCCTGAGTTCAACCAGTAGCACCACACACCACCAAAAAATGGGGGGAAATTGCTGGAAATTAAAATTTGGAAATGCCTTTATCAGGGAGGACTAATCTCACTGAATACTGAGAGTAAGAAAACTATATTTAAATTGTGTTGAAGCTTTCTATAAAACTTGGTGTTTTGGGAATGAGGTTTGGCTCAGTTGTAGAGCACTTGCCTAGCAAGTTTAAAGTGTGAGAGAGACCCTGAGTTCAAACTCTACTACCACCAATTTTTTGCATGTTATCAGAGAATTTGTAATGAAGCAAAAAGTATCAATATTGTATAATGCACATCTAGATTTTCAAATAGGAAATATTAGATGTAGCCTCAAAA